AGGGTTCAGAGGAGGGCCACCTGCTTGGTGAGAGGGCAGCAGAACAGGCCCTATGAGGAGAGACTGAAGGACCTGAACTGTTCATCCACAGCAAGAGGAGGCTGAAGGGGGACCTGGTGGCTGCCTACAAACTCATCAGGGGAGATCAACAGCAAATAGGTAGAGCCCTTTTCTCCCCAGCACCACCTGGGGTGACAAGGAACAATGGTAATAAGCTGATGGAGAATAGGTTTAGGCCAGAGATCAGAAGGTAATATTTTACAGTTAGGGTGGCCAAAATCTAGAACCAACTTCCCAGGGAAGTGGTCCTCGCCCCTACCTTGGACAAATTCAAGAGGAGGTTGGACGATCACCTGTCTGGGGTCTTGTGAACCCAGCATTCATTCCTGCCTGTGGCAGGGGATTAGGCTAGATGATCTGTTCAGGTCCCTCCTGACCCTAGCTACTATGAAACTAGGCTCTGGCAATACATAAAGGCAGAGTGCCAGCACATAGTTCTGGATTCAAGGTGAAGATTCATTGGCCTCAAGACGTGACATCTCCCCTGAGAGCAGGGAGAAGCAGCCTTCTTGCCTTTGAAGATTTGCATCATGAATCTCATGGGCAAAGCAGTTTCTTCTCCAAGTTCCTGCTCCCCTGGATGCTAAAGGGTTCTGGAAAACACCGGGATCCCTAGATTACCATCGCAGAAAGAATGCAACAAAGACTTCTGTTTAAAAGCAAGAGCAATGTGACAGTCCCTCAGAGAGAAGGCAGCTCCCAGCCCTTTTTGCTTCTTGCTCTTATCATCCCATCCCATCCCATCCATAAACTTATCTATGTTTATAGCTGCGTGGGGATTTCTTCCCAGACACTGTGAGCCTGAGATCCTAGATGGGAAGAATGATGCCCATCCTGGAGCTGCAATCCACACTCCTGCCCTTTCTGCTTCCACTTTCTAGCAGCTCTTAGAATAGAAAGCATTTGTTTACCAAGTCCTGTGGGTTCTCTTTCTTTTGGTTTCTTGCCAGGGAAAATGTGCTTTTCACTATAAGAAGTGAGGGGTGGGGCTAGTTTCCAGTTGGTCTTATTAAGGATGAAACAGGGAGAAGTTTGCCTGCTCCCTGGTCCTGCATGCACGTGATAGGGACCATCACCAGCTTGCCTTGTATACTGCACTCACAGCTGTGGCAACATCTTGCTCTCAAGTGCTTTACTTTGATTTCTGCTCTGTGCAGAAGTATCAAGTTTCTCCACATCTCTGCTTCAAACATAAGTGCAAAACTGAACAGTTCAGGATTAGATTCTTCCCCATGTCTCAAGCCCAGTCACCAGGCAAAGAAGAACAGAAAGTTGGCTAGTAAAACCCTAGCTCAACCCAGAGCATGCAATCTCTGTGTCAGCTGAGAATGGGTAAGGTGAGAAAATGTTAGTGAAGGATAACAGCTGGCTCTACCTGGGCTGTGCAGAGTTCCCTTGCCAGGGGAACTCTCACTTGACCATTTAAGATCAAAATTCCTTAGTAGCACACAGCAGGATTAGGGAAAGGAACTTGGCCCTGAGTCGGGCCCAGTTCCCGGCAGAGGAAGGACCCTGGCTAGCATGATGATTTCTGAATAAAGACTGCAGTCTCTGATCTGCCACAAGAGGCCACAAATGCAATGAGAGGAGCAAATCCTTAGTCAGTGGAAGCCAACAGAACTCAACTGGAATTAGCAGAACTATAGCCAATTTACTCTTGCCTGGGATCTGGTCCCATTGGATACCAGTGGAAATGATTAACTAACACCTTGTGAGAATTGGCTCATTGATGCTAGGACAGCTGTAGCAATTTACAGCACCTCACTTTTAAAGAGAAGCATTAACCTCCCTAAGCAGGCCCAAAGGGAAATCTGTAGTGATCTTCAGGTTTGTGAGGGACACACATGAATTATATTTGTCCACAGACAAATCCATCAGTTAAACAATGAATTGTGTTACAGCTAATGGTTTGCTGTTACTGACCAGCTATACAGATGGTTGAATAATATTCACTCAATAAATAATTCATGTAATTTCTCCACCAATCAGCAGATCAATTAGCTATAAACTTTGCTTCAATCACTCCCCAAGCTCCAGTAGGACAAAGTGTTTGAATTATGGCTCACAGATAACTAACTAGCATGTGCTTTCTAACTTCTTTCATCTGAGTTTGAACCTACTCCAATGACCTGGAAATTC